AGTGAGGACATGGATGGTAAAGAGGGGCCAATGAAGACTATTCCCTCTGTGCTTAGATGGAGACCAGCCAGGGAGGGGCTGAGAGCACAGGCCTTGGCCAGAGAGGGACGGTCAGGGTGGCCTGCCGGGGACAGCATTGAAGGCCGGCATCCACCTCTGCCCACGCCTGCCCCCTCCCTCCCTCCCTGTCCTGGGCAGAGTGTCCTCTGGTTTCTCTGGACTTGCTGTTCACAGTCTCTAAGTGAGACCCTTGGGAATCTTTTTTTTACTGTTTCTTTTTTCTTTCTTAAGTTATAAGTTACATACACTGAAAAATACAATTTTTAGAAACACTTCTATGAGTATTTATAAATGCATGTAGAGATGTATGCGTCCCACCACCGCAGCAGGCAGCAGCTCAGTCATTCCCACAGCTGCCCCAGGCGCCTTTGGGGGCGGCCCTTCCTCCGGCCCCGCCTCTGGGACTGCTGGTCTGCTGTCTGTCCCTACAGTTGGCTCCTGGTCAGAATGTCATAGAAATGCAATGACACCCAGCAGCCGTTTGGTTCTGGCTTCTTTCACACAGCGTAATGCACCTCAGATCCGTCTGTGGTGCTTTCGGTGCTAATAGTTCACTGCAGGCCCCTTACTGAGCAGGTTCCGCTGCGTGGATGCACCACAGTTCCTTTATCCACCACTGGATGTAAAACTAGGGTTGGATCGAGAGTACACCCTTTGACAACTTCACATAAAGCCTTTATAAAACTTCTTATAGGTGCTTTGTGGGCATATGTTTTCATTTCACTCAGGAAAACACCTGGGAATGGAACTGATGGCTCCTACGGCAGCTACAGGAGTGCCTGTCTAAGACTCTGGCAAACTATTATCCAGTGTGGGCGCCCGACGCTGCTTTTTGTGGTCCTCAGTCACTGAGGAGAGCTCCTCTTGCTGCCCACCCCCTGAGCTCTGGGCTTGTTAGGTTTTTATCAGACTTCTTCTAGCGCACACCACGTGGCATCGCATGATTTTACTATTCACTTCTTAGTGACTTAACGATGGTGAACATCTTTCAAGGGCTTATTTGTCATCTGCGCATCTTGTTGGTCAAGTGTTTGATCAAACCATTGCCCAGCGTTCAAGCTCAGAGTTTCCCAGGATTACGTGTACTCATTTGTGAGAGTGTGTATGTTAAGTTCTGTGTGATATTATCATGTATGTAGTTTCAAATCTAGCACAGAGGTCAAAAAATAACTCAGTTATGCCACCTCAAGGACCCTCGTGTTTTACCTTTATAACAGCACCCATCTCCATTCTCCCGTGCCTCCTCCCTGCCCCTAACCCCTGCAACCACTACCTAGTTCTTCATTTCTAATTTTGTTCAGAAGTTCTACAAAGAAATAAGAACTAGACTCATAGAGAATGAAGGCTTTTGGAATCAGCATTTTTCACTCCCCATAACCCCCTGCAGATTTCTCAAAACTGCCGTGTGCTCTAAGAGTCCCTTCCTTGTCTGGGCTGAGTCCTGTTCCAATATTCAGGTACAGCGACTGGGAGCCACCCTCCCTCTGGAGGGCATCGGATCAGTCTCTCTTGGGGGCTACTGTGTAGAAGTTACTCTCAACAGCCGTGCACAGGGCTTTCTGGGAACACTAGCTTTCACTTCTTGAACTAAAGTGACAGACGAGCAGTTGCTGGCTCATAGGGTCCCAACTGCAATTTAGGTTTTGAAGTCGCTTCCACTGTTTCCGAACGACTGGTCCAGTTTACATCCCACCCTGTTGTCCATCGCCCTGCAGAGCCCAGGCTGTCATTGTATTTCACTGTAGCCGTGCTGATGGATGTGCAGGTGTCCCTCACGCTGCTGCACCGGCATTGCCCTCATGTCAACTGAGTGATACCCATCTTTCCATGAGCTGTTTCCTGTCTCTGCATCCTCTTCCATAAAATACTAGCTCTTGTCTTTTGCTCATTCTCTATACAGACTGTGTCATTTAATTCTTACTATTTAGTTTTGAGAGTTCGTTCCATACTCTAAACACTAGGTGTGTGCTGGATAAGCGGTTTGCAAAATTTTCTATGTGTCTATTACTTGTTTATTTTATCCTCCTTAAAAATATTTGCACAGCAAAAGATTCTAATTTTGGTGAGATTCAACTTATCAAACTTTCCTTTTACAAAGTATGCTTCCACTGTCATCAAAGGATTCCTGTATCACCCCACATCCTGGTGATTTTCTTCTGGATTTCTCTAAACCAGCCACCATGATGTAAATGACCCAAAATGTGTCACAGAAGAACAAGCCCGACTTCAATGTGTCCGATGATGAAATTCTGGCCTCTCACAGCAGCGTGGTGACTGCTGTCCCCACAGCACCTGCTATGGGCACGGCCCATCCCCCCTGCAATGTCCTCAGCACTAGATAGGATGGCTGTGTCACCCAGGCCCAGAGGGGAAGCCCAGGCCCAGACTGAGCTGTGCGTGCATGTGCTGGGGGCAGGGGGCAGCAGTTCCTCATCAGCACCAGAGACACTACTGGGGCCTGGGCTCTGGCCTGGGAGTGGCGCCCCACTAAAATCCTCCATTGAGCCCAGCTGCTCTCTGCTCAGCAGGGAGCATGTCACCAAGGACACAGGGCCAGAAGTAGATTTGCATAAGTATGTCCCTTCTGAGGATAAGAGAGGGCCAGAGACTCCACCCCCAGCTGTGGGCACAGAGGCAGAGCTCAGGGCACCTCCACCATGGCCTGGAACCCCCTCCTGCTGACTCTTCTCTCTCTCTGCACAGGTGCTGATCCCAGGACTCAGACCCCCGGGTATCCAGGGATTCGCCAGGCCCTGAAACTCAGCTCAGCACAGGGGATGCTGCTGGGTGCGTGGTCTCAGGGAATGAGACCCTGATCACCACACTCATTCTCCTCTCCTCTACTGCAGGTTATGTGGCCTCTTCTGCACTTACTCAGCCCTCTGCAGTGTCCGTGTCCTTGGGACAGACGGCCAGGATCACCTGCCAAGGAGGCAGCTTAGGAAGCTATTATGG